ATGGATGTCACAGATGTTCTAGTCAAGGTTATACTCGGTTTAAATGTTCAGTTGGTTTCCATTTTATTTTACTTTCAGAGTGTTTGCTCTTTTTATTTAGTTTTTTTTCAGAATGGTCCAATTTCATGTAACTGGTTGGAAGGGTGGAGCAGCTAGACACAGATCATATCAATAACGTTGTGAGATGTTTGTTTATTGCAAGACGATGGGCATTTATTGCATGTTCTCTGCTTCAAGTCGAACATTAACTCTGTATTAAATATCAACGTTTCCATTACACTTTTAGCAATAATCACAATTATCAATTACAACAACTTATAAACTCAGAAATTAGGACTTGTTTTAGTTGGTTTTAGCTATAATATCTCAGTAAAATGTGGCAATGTGCAAATGCAACGACAAACATTGAGTAACGGCACTAATACTTAAATCTTGTAAATTGATATTCTTGAGTCTGTATTAATATATAAATGCTGCTGTAACAAAAACAATTTCCCAATTTGGGATCAATAAAGTACGATCTATCTAAATCATATGTTATGTAATTCTGTATGACTACCCCATATGTGAATAACAACAAGTATTAATTGTGCTCCATCTGCTGGACTCTTTTAAGCCATTTCATTTCTGTGGTTTAACGCACAAGAGTTGAAGGAAATTCATCCATTCCCCTTTTTCTTTTAATGTATAACAAACTCAAAACAAAAATGTATTTGCCTTAATTTGTATACTATTGTTACTATTTTTTTATTTTATTAAGCAATATCATTTCGGTTAAAGTCAACTACAATATATCCAGGGTGTCCGGGGCGTCTTAAAAAGTATTAAAAGTTGATAAATCAATTTAGCGAAAATTAAGGCTATTAAAAAGTATTAAACGGCATTTTCCAAGGTATTACATTTTGTAGCTTGTTTCCAATAAGTATATAAATGGTCCAAAGAGGTTGTATTCTACAGTGTGAATATAATCATTGCGTAGGTGTGTAGTGTGATTCTGTGTAGTTTATTTATGGCATCCCGTTGGATTTGACGTCATCTGAACAGGACATCGCACGCTCACTGCTTGATAGCGCGCGAAGGTCCGTTTACGCCGGTTGCTAAGCAACATCGTTATGGGGAAATGCAAGTCTGCGTCCAAATGGTTGGAAGATAAGGAGGAAGGACAATCAATACTGTATATAGTCAATGTGAGGTAAAGTGTGTCGCCAAGGTAACCGGTTAGAACTCCAAGTGGCGATGAGGTCTTAAAATGTATGGAAAGGGTCTTAAAAAAGGTCTTAAAAGGTTTTACATTTGACTTCAGGATTCCTGCATATACCCTGAATTAAACCATGGTCACGTATTTTATTTCATAAATATTGCATTTTGAAGCATTGGTATTTCTGTGTGGTTCAATGTCTCAATGCGTTTTACGGTACAAAAGCTTAAAAAAAACATACTTTATTATATTTGTACTTGGCGATATCTTTACAGTTTAATTTTTTTCAAAGGAATTTATTTTATTACGTACATTTTTTTACAGCTAATTCCTGTTTTTAGTTTTAGGTTACTAAAAATAACCCCGGTTCTAACATGTTCTTCAAAGAGCCGTTTGTCACATTACGGACACACAAACACACTCATCTTCTGTTTAATCAGAACTTAATCATGTATCACAGCGAGCTCATCAGCGTCAGACAATTATCCGACCCTAAATGAGCTTTCTACGTGATTCACGGTGTTAGTCTGGTTACATGGAGACGTTTGCAGGAATTGTATCACGTTCTCTTTGCAGGAGCAGATTATCCATCAGAGGAAAACACTCAGAGACTCTTAAAGGTCACCTATTATGCAAAATCCACTTCTCCATGTCTCTTCTACATCAACATGTGTCCCCTCTTCTTCATGTCTCTTCTACATCAACATGTGTCCCCTCTTCTTCATGTCTCTTCTACATCAACATGTGTCCCTTCTTCTTCATGTCTCTTCTACATCAACATGTGTCCCTTCTTCTTCATGTCTCTTCTACATCAACATGTGTCCCCTCTTCTTCATGTCTCTTCTACATCAACATGTGTCCCCTCTTCTTCATGTCTTTTCTACATCAACATGTGTCCCCTCTTCTTCATGTCTCTTCTACATCAACATGTGTCCCCTCTTCTTCATGTCTCTTCTACATCAACATGTGTCCCCTCTTCTTCATGTCTCTTCTACATCAACATGTGTCCCTTCTTCTTCATGTCTCTTCTACATCAACATGTGTCCCCTCTTCTTCATGTCTCTTCTACATCAACATGTGTCCCCTCTTCTTCATGTCTTTTCTACATCAACATGTGTCCCCTCTTCTTCATGTCTCTTCTACATCAACATGTGTCCCCTCTTCTTCATGTCTCTTCTACATCAACATGTGTCCCCTCTTCTTCATGTCTCTTCTACATCAACATGTGTCCCCTCTTCTTCATGTCTCTTCTACATCAACATGTGTCCCCTCTTCTTCATGTCTCTTCTACATCAACATGTGTCCCCTCTTCTTCATGTCTCTTCTTCATCAACATGTGTCCCCTCTTCTTCACGTCTCTTCTACATCAACACGTGTCCCCTCTTCTTCATGTCTCTTCTACATCAGCATGTGTCCCCTCTTCTTCATGTCTCTTCTTCATCAACATGTGTCCCCTCTTCTCCATGTCTCTTCTACATCAACATGTGTCCCCTCTTCTTCATGTCTCTTCTACATCAACATGTGTCCCCTCTTCTTCATGTCTCTTCTACATCAACATGTGTCCCCTCTTCTTCATGTCTCTTCTACATCAACATGTGTCCCCTCTTCTTCATGTTTCTTCTACATCAACATGTGTCCCCTCTTCTTCATGTCTCTTCTACATCAACATGTGTCCCCTCTTCTTCATGTCTCTTCTTCATCAACATGTGTCCCCTCTTCTTCACGTCTCTTCTACATCAACACGTGTCCCCTCTTCTTCATGTCTCTTCTACATCAGCATGTGTCCCCTCTTCTTCATGTCTCTTCTTCATCAACATGTGTCCCCCTCTTCTCCATGTCTCTTCTACATCAACATGTGTCCCCTCTTCTTCATGTCTCTTCTACATCAACATGTGTCCCCTCTTCTTCATGTCTCTTCTACATCAACATGTGTCCCCTCTTCTTCATGTCTCTTCTACATCAACATGTGTCCCCTCTTCTTCATGTCTCTTCTACATCAACATGTGTCCCCTCTTCTTCATGTCTCTTCTACATCAACATGTGTCCCCTCTTCTTCATGTTTCTTCTACATCAACATGTGTCCCCTCTTCTTCATGTCTCTTCTACATCAACATGTGTCCCCTCTTCTTCATGTTTCTTCTACATCAACATGTGTCCCCTCTTCCTCATGTCTCTTCTTCATCAACATGTGTCCCCTCTTCTTCACGTCTCTTCTACATCAACACGTGTCCCCTCTTCTTCATGTCTCTTCTACATCAGCATGTGTCCCCTCTTCTTCATGTCTCTTCTTCATCAACATGTGTCCCCTCTTCTCCATGTCTCTTCTACATCAACATGTGTCCCCTCTTCTTCATGTCTCTTCTACATCAACATGTGTCCCCTCTTCTTCATGTCTCTTCTACATCAACATGTGTCCCCTCTTCTTCATGTCTCTTCTACATCAACATGTGTCCCCTCTTCTTCATGTTTCTTCTACATCAACATGTGTCCCCTCTTCCTCATGTCTCTTCTTCATCAACATGTGTCCCCTCTTCTTCACGTCTCTTCTACATCAACACGTGTCCCCTCTTCTTCATGTCTCTTCTACATCAGCATGTGTCCCCTCTTCTTCATGTCTCTTCTTCATCAACATGTGTCCCCTCTTCTCCATGTCTCTTCTACATCAACATGTGTCCCCTCTTCTTCATGTCTCTTCTACATCAACATGTGTCCCCTCTTCTTCATGTCTCTTCTACATCAACATGTGTCCCCTCTGTGTAAAGAGACTCTGAAAGTTTCAGGAACAAAGATTCTCTCTCTTTTTGTCCTGATCCATTTCTATAAAAACCTGTCTGAAAATGAGCTGATCACATTTTGGCCACTTTATGATGTCATAACGATGTGTTGTCTTGTGTAACCATTAGCCAATCACCAACCAAGGTAACCCCCCCCCCCCCCCCCCCCCCCCCCCCCCCACCTTATCACCTGAATCTCCTCCTAGAGCACCATTGAGTTCTTTGTAACCAAATCTCTCTCAGAGGGGCGTGGGGAGGGGCTCCTTATTTTCATCTAAAGTAACAGACAGAGAATCAGCACTTTGGAAACAGGGCTGAAACAGAGGGGATTATGGGATGCTGCAATGATCTGTTTGGTGTTTCAGCCAATCAGAGACAGGTTCTTTATATATCTGAGACCTGTGATATATTGATGAAAAACAGTATAATAGGGGACCTTTAAGTCATGATGCTCAAGCTGCTGCTACACTTTATTTTATATCTGAAATTAAGCACTTTTTAAGACGCACACATTTTCAAAAGCCCGAGAGGAACATTACACATACATATCCACAGTATTTTAGTGTATATCTGTATAGTTCAATGTTAATTGACAATAAATATTGTTGTTTTTGAATTGTACTTTCTTTATTTGATTGGCAGTCAGTTGTTGATTACATGCAGACGTTGAAGTAAACAGTTATTTTGTGTGTTTTTGCAATTATTGAGTGTTCTTGTATTTTAATGTGTTATTTTATACCTTGGGTCTGTGGGAAACAGTATTTTGATCTTTCTGTGTGTACAAACATATTTTGAGATTGACAGTAAAGTTGACTTGGACTACTCTTTGACTTTGATACAGCTACTAGGCTACTTCAATATCTATCACACTAATTCATAAAGCAAGTTAGACATTTTGATGTTCCGGACCTTTGCATGGGGAGATTTTCTCTAACTGAACCTCGTTGAATTTTAGTTGAATACCCCCTGTTGTAGTTAAAGCTGTGTGTTGAATGTTTTTTTAACAACGTGTTCTTTGTTTTCTGCAGGGGTGATCCCAGTCTCGTCAAACTAAATGTAGCCATAACCTGTGGCTATCTCCTTTATGGTGAGATGATTTCTGTTTGTACTGTTTCCACTAGTGCAAAGTCCATGTCATTCAATGTATACAGTGTAAGCACACAAAGAAAAGCGGAATTTAATCTGAATTTCACTGATTATATGTAGAAACACCAATATGTCAGGTTTAAAAAAAAACACCCGATCTGCACTTTAATATGTGAATAAACACATGCATTCAACCAAAAACACACACATTATTACGTACTGTATAAGTGAACAATGTCATAAAATCCGGTGTAGTATTTTGTTATCTCCCCTGTGTACATAACTCGGACTATTCTAGAAAGCAAAGGTCATGACCACAGCTTATTTTTATGACATTTTACAGCTTTGAAGGAACACTTCACCCACAAAGTGCTCATTTGTATATCAATTACGCACCACAACACCTTTCAAACACTGATTTTATTAATGATGATAATAATAAATAAATTACATTTATTTATTGCATGGCTTAGTTGAATACTCGATTCTGATTGGTCGATTCAGAACATGTGACCTGGTGCTCAAAGCGCTTATATTTTTTTAGTTAAATTTATTTTTTGATTGATTTTAATGAGTAAAATGGGGACAATATAAGCTATAAGTCCTGTTTTTTTATGTATTGTTTTTTTCCCACACATAACACAATAACAGGATAAAATACACAGTACAAATGCAGGTGCTATATTTAAAAAAAAAAAAAAACAATATGACAAAACAATAATGATAATAACATAAAAAGATCATTACAGTAATAGCAATGAGAGAAATAAACCAAAATGACATGAGACAGAAACAGAAACTATAAAGTCGTGTTTATGGAGTATTTTCTCTACTCAGTTTACTCTAAAGCAGTGATTCTCAAATGGGGGTACGCGGACCCCTAGGGGTACGTTGGGGTACTGCATGGGGTACGGGAGATAGGTTAATTAAAAAAATACCATGCATGATTACAAAAATAATCTTAGTACAATAAGTTAAATAGAAAACATTTTATATAAAATATTCCTAGAACCACCAAGGGGGTCCTCATATAAACATGTCAAATGTGTGTATTGTATTTTATAGTTTTAATAATATATCATTTTGTTCATTGGTTTGTTAAACATATATTACTTCAATTGAAAAAACTCGCTTTTTTTTCATGCATAAAGATGAAAATATCCTTAGTTTGTTGTAATTCATGCATGAAGGAGTTCATCAATCACACACTGATGGAACATCACTATATTGTAATTATTTAAATAGGCTTTTTCTATCAAAAATGTTCGGGGTAGGTCAGGGGGTACTTGGCTGAGAAAATGTTTCAAAGGGGGTACACTACTGAAAATGTTTTGAGAAGCGCTGCTCGAAAGGTCACGACCACACTTCAGATGTCTTATAACATGTCAGCTTTACATGTGTTCCACTGTTTCCACCTGTTTTAAAGGCAGTCATGTTTATAAAACAGTGGTTTCATGGTGTTGACTGGCTCTCTGTCCCTCTGTCCTCAGACCTCGTGCTGTTGGCCACTAACTGGAGCACGATGGGCGACGGCTTCTTCGTCTGCCACCACTTGGCGGCGCTGTATGCATACGGATATGTTCTGGTGAGTAGATCACTCTTCAGATTTAGGGTGTAAAAACTCAGGGGTAGACGGAGCGTTCGGTTCAATTGACTGTATAATAGTTTCTTCTTCAATCTTCAGCTACACAGTGAAAAGTACCAGCTTTATTTCAGTAAATGTATTACCATTGTCAGAGGTGGAAGAAGTACTCAGACCTTGTGCTTGAGTAAAAGTAGAAATACTCAGACCTTGTGCTTGAGTAAAAGTAGAAGTACTCAGACCTTGTGCTTGAGTAAAAGTAGAAATACTCAGACCTTGTGCTTGAGTAAAAGTAGAAGTACTCAGATCTTGTACTTGAGTAAAAGTAGAAGTACTCAGATCTTGTACTTGAGTAAAAGTAGAAGTACTCAGATCTTGTACTTGAGTTAAAGGAGAAGTACTCAGATCTTGTACTTGAGTAAAAGTAGAAGTACCAGAGTGTAGGAATACTCTGTTACAGTAATAGTCCTGCATTCAAAATGTTCCTCAAGTAAAAGTAGAAAAGTATTCTCATCAAAATATAGTTAAAGTAGTGACAGTAAAAGTAGTCATTGTGCAGATTGGTCCATTTCAGAATAATATATATGATATGTTTTATAATGATTGATCATGAAAGTGTTCTCAAAGCTGGTAAAGGTGCAGCTAGTTTGAATGACTTTGTATACTGCAGGGTAGCTTGTGAATTTACTCCAGGTGGAACTAAAGTCTGATTTAACACTTGATTAGATTTCACATCATTCATCCACATCTGTAAAGTAACTAAAGGGATTAAATACATGTAGTGGAGTAAAAGTACACCATGTACCTCTGAATTGTAGTGGAGTAGAAGTACAACGTAGCAAAACATTGAAATACTCAAGTAAAGTACAAGTACCTCTAAATTGTACTTAAGTAAATGTACTTAGTTACTTTACACCTCTGACCATTGTATTGACTTAGATAGCAATTGGAGACATGGCACTATTCCTATGTCCAAATGTTTAATTGTTCCTCTCTCTTTGTGTAAGGTCATAATCACAAAGCTACTCTGGTTACTCCCTGGGAAGGGGGAGATAGTGTTGTTGTTGTTTATGTTTTGTAAATTGTCTCTGTGTTCGGTTTGTGAAGCACTTTGAGTTACCGTGTTTGTTTGAGAAGTTGTCTATAAATAAAGTTTGATTTGATTGCAGACTCGAGGCGTGCTTCCCTACTTTGCAAACTTCCGCCTCATTTCAGAGCTGTCCACACCGTTTGTGAACCAAAGGTGAGTCAGCATCACTTTACCCTCTATCTGTCAACATATCCCAGAATGCATAGCAACACGTGTTCTATCTCTGTCTGTCAATACGGAAAGTCCTGCAGCGGAAATTGAGGGAAAGTAATTGGGATCAAAATACTTGATTTACTTCAATTCAACTTAGTGAATATTGCTCCATTTTAGAATAACTAATCACTTTAATCAAAAAGTAACAAATATAATCATATAAACTTTTTTTTATCTATTTTTAAATTAATCTAAAGACACAATGAACGGATAAAGATAGAAAAGAAGAATGCAAAACATTTTTAATTGACAAATTGACAAAATCCTCTTCCTCCCTGCAGGTGGTTCTTCGAGGCGTTAAAGTACCCTCGCTCTCACCGCCTCGTCGTTATAAACGGCGTCGCCATGGCGGTCGTCTTCTTCCTGGTCCGCTGCGCCGTCATGCCGTCCTATTGGTCCAGCGTCTTTGCCACTTTCGGCACGGAGGCCTTCGCTAGGCTGGGCCTCGCCGCTCAAGTGGCGTGGATCTCCTCCTGCATCGCGCTGGACATCCTGAACGTCATCTGGATGTACAAGATCGCCCGCGGCTGCTACAAGGTGATCAAAGGAAGACGGGGGGCGAGGAAAGGAAAGGAGGAGGAGGAGGTGGTATCGGAGAAGAAGAAGGAGGTGGTAACGGAGAAGGAGGTGGAGAAAAAAGACGGGAAGCACGTCAACAGCCACACGGACTGAAGAGAGCGAAAGGAAATGTAGAAACACGAAGTGAGGAGGAAGGGGGAAATCCTCACAGACCCACGTGATGGTCCTTTAAGTCCCGACACGAGACAAAGAGACTCTCGAGCTCCAGCCTTTGCAGCTCAGTGTTGGGACCGAGGCAGAAAGCACACTTTTAACTCCGTCTGTCACCTTTTCGTTCGTCCTTTTACCCGTCACATGTCCCCTCCTTCGGCCTCTGAAGGCGCCTGCGAAAGACAGGATTTTTTTTGCAGGATCGCAAAGTCTGACAGAGCCTTCAGAAGACGACCATCTCTCGCTGATTTTTTTTTTCTCCCCCCCCCCCCGAACATCATTTCATCTACTCCGTCCACGCTCGAGGAGACGCTCCCGTGTACAGTGTTCGTGAATCTACAGGGCTCTCGTCTTAAAACTCATCAGACCTCACGATATACAGAAAGAGACAGAAAAACACCATAATGCCTCTTCTACAGTATCACCTGCTGTGGCCTCCTTGTAAGAAAGTGGCACCTGCCTATTATCACCAGCCATGCCCCTCCAACGCCCCCTGAACAATTCGGATTATATATATATATATTAAAATATTAAGAATATGCATGCAGGACAGACTAGACACACTCTCTAACACCCTGTAGGTCCACATAGTAGGTCTTTTTCTGCACTGAGCAGTGTTCAATGTTTCTGGGATGATATCTCCACAACTTTTGAGTTTTTTTCCCATTTGACATCAACTGGAAGATCCGTGAAAGTAGGGCGATCCGCGTACAGATCAACGCTCACCGGAGAAAACATCAATGTACATCAGATGAGCTTTTTTGGTTTAGTTATAGCTGTTTCCATGGTAAAAAAAACAAAAACTTCTCGTCTTTGTACGGAGGGCATTCGCGAGACACCCAAATACGCTTTTCTGTCTTTTTGATAATTGAGAAACACGGTCTAAAGCGAGCTTCTCCTCCACATACGTAGGGTGGTCTGTGTGATATGATAACAGTTTGACAATAGCTGATCCATGTACAACAAATAAGCTTTTCGGTTTTTGTCAATAACGAGCTTCTCCTCCACGTACGGGGGGGAAATCTACGATAAAGAGATGGAGATAAAAGTTCTACAGATTAAACGCTCACCGTAGAAAAACATCCATTCAAAACAAATGAGCTTTTGGGGGTTTTCAATGGCCGAAAGACTTGGTCACAAACAAGCTTCTCCTCCACGTACGGAGAGTGATCCGTGTATGGAAACAAAAGTTCTGCCGAGAAAACATTCACCGTCGGAAAAACATCCGTGTGCAACAAATTCGCTTTATGGGTTTTGTAATGATCGTTTCCGATTTTGAAAGACCCGGTCAAACACGTGATTGTCCTCATCCTACGGAGGGCGATCCGCATGTGAGAGTGAAACGCTCACTGGCAGCAACATTCATGTACAACAAATTCGCTTTTTTTTCGTCTCTGTTATATAATTGCTTCTTTCTGAATAACACAATCAAGCTTCTCCTTCAATTTCAAGAGTCACGTCAATTTCTGAAAAGTCAGTCAAGTGAATATCAACTCGGAGCGTTTGTAGCGGCCACACAGAAAACAGAGGGTGAGCTTTTTTAGAAATAAGACGATGGGTGTAGAGCTTTTTAGAAAGAGACAGAAAGAGAGAACAAGCCGCTCTGTGGACACGGGCTTCTCACAGGACAATTCTTTGCCTTTTCAGTATTCATTGTCGGCATTGCCCCGCTGTATTTTTATTTTACCCGCCCTGAAGTTACATCCAATTCATTTGACACCCATCGCAACCCTCTGCCTCACTGGATACTCCACTGTCCAGCTTTTGGTTTTGTTCTACCTCTCCCCCCCGCCTTACAAAGACCTCCCGTCGTCATGAGACAAATCAACTTTTTTTTTTTTTTGTCGTTCTTTCTACTGTACCTAGTGATTTTAGCCTTTGATATGTTATCTGTTGTGATATCACTGATTCAGAGGGACTTCTTCGACCCAGCCAATGCAGTCAAGTGTGTCTTTCTAAAGAACCCTCACCCCCAATGGAAGTCTTTATATTTCCTCTGATCACGTTTTTTTGTTCTCCGTGACTCTTGAGAATCTAATCTTACAAGGGAAAGGGAAAAGTCCACAAACATTTGGACTTTTTTTTCCCCCCCACTTCCTTTCCACAAGTTGGCACAATCATAGCGTGCGAACGATATAATTGAAGCCCTTCAGAAACACTGACATGGTGCTCTTTTTTTCTTGCAGAATGTCAGCAGTAGGAATGCTAGCAATACGACAATTTCTTTCCAAACGCTTCTACATAATTTGGATGTATCAATTTATGGCAATCTGCATGTTGTTTATTTTTCTTTTCTGTATAAACTGTAAATCACTTCAGAGCATGGTAACATATTTCTGTGATGCCTTAGCGACTAGTCATGATAGATGAATAACATCTAGATATGAAACTGCGTTAATCCGAAGGGGTTTGTCTTCCAAAATGTCTCGCCTCTCGGAGCAGACTGAATGCATGTTCTTTACTTTCCTCCTCGCTGCATGTCTGTACAGTTAATTCTCATACAGTAGCGCTGTATGGCCGACTCACTAATCATTAACCACATTCTCTGTGTGGCAGTTTTTTTTTTTTTTACAAATTCATGAACTCTACTCGTTGTACACTAAGACTACATCGCTGATATGATGACGGACAGAGATACAAGAGCGGGGTTCAGATCAGGCTTTTGTCACACTACAAGAAATGTATAAATGTCATTGTTGCTTATAGGAGAACTCCACCGATTTAAAAATGGGGAAATCGCGGTTTCAAAAACGATGCCGATTTTCGTCAAGTTTCCATCTGAATGAAGTTAACCAAAACTACAGCTTAAAAAAAATCTGCAAGAATTTCACGTTAATATAAGGAGAAAAAAGAGGGTGTGTCAAAGTGACGTCAATAAAACAATAATGGAAAAGCGATATTGCTATTTGTATGAAGGTGACTTTTATTTTTATTTTCTCTGTCACTATTTATTAACTTTTCAATGTAGAGTAAATGCATTTCAGGGACGTCACTGTGACACACTTTTAAATAAAAATGTATCCGTGTTTTCCAATTTGATTTGCAATTTTAAGATGTGTATTAAAACAGATACACACTTAGTGTTTTATTTAACTTTTTTTTTTCTTTGACTTAAACCTTTTGCCTACATTGCCCATAATGCAACAGTTCAATTCAGGTGTGTAGCCGCTAATTATGCCGTTTTTGTTTATTTCAAATTTTTCCAGTCAGGTTTTCTTATTTCACAAAAGTAAAATGCCAATTAAAACATATTTAAAAAAAAAAAAAAAAAAAAAATGTAACACTTTATTCCACAACTTGGTACTACATTACCCATAATGCAACACTTCATTCTAGCGATTCAGGTGTTCTAATGGTGGCTCATTCTGCCTTTTTTTGTCAGTCAGGTTTTATTTGTTTTTGCCAATTTACAAAGCACATAAAAACAGGAAGTAGCAGCTCATACTGCCCAATTATATTTATTTGTATATTACACATATAGTTGTACTAAACAAACCCATTTTTTTTTTTTTTTTTTTTAAACCTATGTAGTGGCACTTCCCAAGACGTGAAAACAGATCCTGTGTCCAATCGGTGGAGTTCCCCTTTACGCATTTAATTGGAACAGATAATGGAGAATATCTCACTGTGTTGCTATGGAGACGACCTCCTGTCTGTCTGTCATCACCACAGAGGAGGGGCTACAGTATCTTGTGCCTTTTTTAACACTAACGGTGGATGTGATGCAGCCAGGTTTTGGATTAGCATGACTTTCTAATGTAATACCCAGTGATTATCTCCTCTGTACTCCACATGTATACTCTTTGTATATATTTTTATAACCTCTTGCCTGCACAATGATTAATCCGGCCAAGTATTATAATCCAAAGCTGATCCCTTTTCTCGGGGAGTTTTGTGTTTTTCTCCTGAAATACAGGGAGGTGTGTCTCTATGAATGTTGTGATTTAGTTATTTAGTGATGATGCGCTCAGTGTCCCGAGGCGGTCAGAATGGAAATTATATTTTTTCACTTTACGACAGGTTAGTAAACGGGGAGGCTAACATCTCATTTCTCCAGCCTCCTAATCTCGAAGCTGTGAATAGTTGTAGAAAGAAACTGTAATATCAAAACTATAATAATCAGAGTACACTGTGGGGAATGAGCCGAGAAGCAGGTGCACTTCTTCTTTTTGTTTTGTGTTTGTTTTTTTAAACTGCTCGTGCACAGAGTAAAACGACACTCACGAGAATTGCAATGTACCGGAGAGAGTTTTTGTATGTTTCAGGGTTTTCTACAGAATATATTTCAACACCTGATATATGTGTCTCGCACCCTGGGGATGTTCGGACAGAACGAATTGATGGATTAAAAAAATAAAAAAGGCTGCTATTGTAAAGGCCGGGATCTGAATCGTATCAGGTTAGAACAACCACATTTGCCTTTTCGTTCTTTTTTTGGGGAGGCCAACGTTCATTATGTCAAATAATGAATATATTTAAAGATATATATATTATTAAGGTATATACAAACCTGTATATATCAAAGTATTGAACACTGATGCACACTGTACCAATTAAACGAATTTTGAGTGTTTTTAATTTCTCTTCTTTCTTAGGTACATTAAAACAGAGCTGCATCAGAATCTGGTACTCAAACAGTAAATCTTACACCTGGTACTTGGGCAGTTTTGATGTCAAGTTTGATTCTATTAAATAAAACGGATTAAGAATTGTATAATGATTGAAAATGACTGGAAAAATTGCGGATAAATTGACAGCAAATATGATTTTTCTTTTGATTGACTTGCCAGTGTGGCTTCTGTTGTTTCCCCCTCTTTGACTTGTTTTTATTTTTGTCTTTTAATGCAATCTCTTTCATTTCTTTGTGTTCTGGAGATTTTAATGTGAAACAGCCTACACTACACGCAGGCCTCGTCTGAGCGTCGTCTACAATGACCACTACTAATGATCATGTAACTGTAGTGCTGGAAGTTGAGACTTACTTGAAAGTGTTGCTCTTCAATAAAGTTGAAGACCAAGAGAAAACGGTTGCCTGGCTCTTTCATTCTTACTCTACACTTACAGGTTAAATATATAACATTCTGCATTTTAAATATCTAAAATACTACTACACCTATGCAGGGCCGTCCCTCCTTACAGGCCGATCATGCAGACTGCGTGGGGCCTCATCTTGCGGAGGGGGCCTCAACTGAGCCGAAAATGCGGCGCACCTATGCGCTGCAATTAGTGTGGTTTCGCCGTTGCAAGGCTCCACTAGCACCCCGCCCCGTCCCGTCCGGTCGACGCTCGCGAAACAGAGGGCCTCATCATATAACTGCGTGGGGCCTCATGTTGGCCAGGGACGGCCCTGCACCTATGTTAGATATTTTGTTGAGTTGCCTACTTCAATCATCCCAAATGTTTTGACCAATTTGTAAACCTAGCGAAATCTTCCTGTATGTATTAGCATTGGTATCTTCTAGAAGCTATCACAAATTGACTTTTTATCTGATTTCAAGCTACATTTGTAAGCTATACTTTTAGATCTTGGTTGTTATTTAACTATATATGTTAACCAGACAAAATATATGTCATTGCACGTCTTGGACAGAAGTTCTTACAGAAACAAGCTAAGCTAACTTTAGCGGTTAGCTAGTAGGCCCAGTGTCCTATCTCCACCAGTAAAACACCATATATTTTTTTTAACGTAAAACTGCTTTATTCTGTGTTTTCATCAGTTTTAATCACCTGGTCCATTTGTTTTGAAGAGGAGGAGACCTCTGTGGATAATTTGGCTTCAGTAAAAAACCTCTGAACAACAATTACTTAACCAACGTTAACCGGGAGAAATGGACAGCAATGGTGGTAAAGTCAACAATCCCCATGATATTATCCCACGTAAAAAAAATGACCTGTTGTGCGTTTAAATGTTCATTCTTACAATGCCAGTTTTTACTTTTGCTCCTACAGTATAGCTTGGAGCAGGGATGACGTATTTTTGTTGGTCATCCTGGGAATCACAAGGCCTCCCTCGACAAAAAGCTAATAGGATTTTTCCACCCAGTGATGATGTTTAGACACTTGTTAGCATCTGCTGTTATTAAGACACGTAAAACCTTCAGACATTCACAAGTGGGGTATTTACTGACGTATTTTATGTTGTATAACAAAACATAGAAGTCTCTTAAACGTGTGTTAACCACATACCTTACTTCAGACTTCTAACAAAACCCCATTGACTTTGAGACAAGCTAACAGAAATGCTAAAACGCTGACTCATTTCTGGGCTTTTTAGATACCTGCAGCCGTCTATTCATATCAATGAAGTCAGCAATGGGGATAACCTGCATTATTCAGTGCAAATCATCCAGACAGAAGCTTATTAAACTAGTCCAGCACTGATCGTGGTGGCTGGATGTGTATCTTTTCTTTTGAATTATGTGAGATATTCAAAGAGCAAAGGTGAAGCACAGACGGAGACTTTCAGAACGAGATGAAAGGGTGCAACGAGAGGATTAGACGAAGCGAGGGATGTGAAGGAAGCGTGGAAAAGTGAGAGATTTATATAAGAAGGAGGGGGAGGTCTGACTCTGAGCTACAGTGGGTTTGTGAGTGAAACCATCTCCTCTCAGTGTGTGTGTGTAAGTGTGTGTGCGCGCCAATCGGTCAAGGGGTTTGGTCAGACTGCCTGAAGAGCTTTACCAAACATGGTCACATAACAGAGACTCAATGAAATCTCCTCTCGCTACTACAGCACACACACACAATGTGAACCTCACTCACACACAGGAGGAAAAATCATCACCTGCATGTCGGCTGTTGACACTAAAACACACCTGCATGTTACAAAAACACACCGTCTGTCGTCACTTTATTCAACACAATCACTACCGCATTACCAACATGGAGAAGTATGCAGTTTACATCCGGATTTCAGCTGTTTTCCCTCGAGTTACTGATGCATATACACTGAAAAAATGGAAATGTTGACTTTAATTAAGTGTATTTTGTCAACAAATTTCACAAAACTGTCTTAGGTTTTTTGTTTATTTTATTCTATTTTTAAGACACTTTGTAATTCTTGTACACTGACTGTGAAAATGCTCCCGTGACAAAACAATTTCCCAACTTGGGATAAATAAAGTATCCATCTACTGTATTCATCCATCCTTCCTTCCTACCTACCTACCTACCTACCTTCCTTCCTTCCTACCTATCTACCTACCTTTCTTCCTTCCTACCTTCCTTCCTACCTATCTTCCTACCTACCTACCTACCCACCTACCCACCTACCCACCCACCTACCCACCTACCCACCTACCCACCTACCCACCTACCCACCTACCTACCTTCCTACCTACCTACCTACCTACCTACCTACCTACCTTCCTTCCTTCCTACCTACCTTCCTTCCTTCCTACCTTCTTAGCTACCTACCTTAAAAAAATGTGTGTGTTTTCAAGACATTTCGACTTGATTAATTCACGTTTATGAAGCTATCCTCTTTCCCTCCAATTTCTCTGTATTTTTTCTCATGAGTCACCATATTGAGAAAGTAACAGTTATGTAAAAATAAATAGATTTTAGTGATATGCCTATTTCAGGAGGAATTTATGCCGTAGACCCTTCCCAGACGTGGGGAAACAAAAACACACCGAATAAAATCAACATTCCTATCCAGACTTTGGAGAAGCTATAAACGGAGCGGATTTTACAAGGTACTTAAAGCCTTGGCTGAAGCTGCCTGAATGACTTCTTACCCAGTTTGTTAACAAGCAGCACCAAACTGTTACCACCTTTCTCAGCCAGAGATGTCATGAGCCTGAGAAACAGCCAAGATACAGAGGTGTGAAAATGTCTGAAAGCTTTGGACAGTTCCTGCATTTCCACTCCTCTGGTGGCACGAGGTAGAGATGATTTATCACGTTTCAAGGTAATTTTAAGTAGAAAAGGCTGGCGTCAGTTGAAAATGTACATTTGTGCGCTTTTAAAATAGAAAACAGTGGATCAAATACTATTTCCCAAAACAAATGAAAGCAGTAACTTACAGGCATGTGTCATTCATTGGTTTGTGGGTTACCATTTTGAAGCCTCAAGTTTGGCATTTAAGTGGTTGTTACTAACAAATGCTAATGCTACATAGCTAGCTTGTTAGGCTAAGCCAGTGGCATCTGTAATTTACCTTAAAGGTGGGGTAGGTAATTTTGGAGAAACCAGCTCGAGTGCGCTAGAATTTGAAAATACACAACCGGAAAAAATCTGCCACTTCCTTCAGACTTCCTTACAGAGCCCCTCCTCCAACACACACGAACGCACACATGACCAATGAGGGCACGAGATAAGTTTGTGCACAGATGGAAGGCTGACAGGCAGGTAGGCCATCCAGTTATTTTAGCCGGGCCGGCTCAGATGATTGGTCGTGCTTTTTACAGTACTATGGCTTCCACAGATGACATTTTGTTATGTATTTTTTGTCAAAGCACTTCAGATATTCATTGCTATCGGGATGTTAAGAGCATTCCATGGAATATAACAAAAAGTGTATCTCGAGCCGGTTTCTCAAACTTACCTACCCCACCTTTAACTGTGGTAGAAAACATTAGAGATGGCCGATGAAAATACTATTACCCAAAGAAATGAAAGTAGCAGTTAAAGTCATAAACTATATAACATAAGTAGTTTAGTGGACTGCAAATTTGAAGCATTGAGTAAGTTGGGCCTTTTAGCTTTTGCCATCTTTTTTTTTGGAGCCACAACCATATTTCAATTAGAAATAGGAACTGGGAAGAAAGGCTAAGTTATCCCCAAATGCTAGCGCTACTTAGCCAGCTTGGTAAACCAGTAGCATCCGTAATCAAGTTTGGCATTTTAGCTTCTTGTGTTTTGGAGGCAGAAATTACCATTTTCTATGAGAAGATGGAGCTGGGAAGAAACGCTAGTTACCAGCGAACATCATAGCGCTACTAGTTAGCTTTGTAAACCAGGTGCATAAGTAATTCAACTTTACTTTGGTACAATTTGTGATGCTATCAAAGTAGCAGTAGCGAAGTTTAAGCGCTGAAAGAAGAGTTACATTTTTAGACCTGAGCAGAGGTGGGAAGTAACTAAGTACATTTACTCAAGTACAGTTTTTGGGGTAGCGTACTTGAGTAGTTCCATTTTATGTTACTTTGTACTTCGACTCCACTACAGTTCAGAGGTAAATTGTGTACTTTTACTCCAATAACTTTAGTTACAGATGTGGATGAATGATGTGAAATATAATCAAGTGTTAAATCAGACTTTAGTTCCACCTGGAGTAAATTCACAAGCTACCCTGCAGTATACAAAGTCATTCAAACTAGCTGCACCTTTACCAGCTTTGAGAACACTTTCATGATCAATCATTATAAAACATATCATATATATTATTCTGAAATGGACCAATCTGCACAATCACTACTTTCACTGTCGCTACTTTAACTATATTTTGATGAGAATACTTTTATACTTTAACTTGAGGAACATTTTGAATGCAGGACTTTGACTGTAACAGAGTATTCCTACACTCTGAGTACTTCTACTTTTACTTAAGTACAAAATCTGAGTACTTCTACTTTTACTCAAGTACAAGATCTGAGTACTTCTCCCAGCTCTGGACCTGTGATATATTTGCCATTATATCACAGGTCAGCGTGTGTTTTTGGTTGATTCAGCAGTAACAAACTAGATTAAATCAGAGGTATAAATCAATATAATGAACACAAATCACCCAATACAGGCACACCAACTGTGACTGAGTAGCTTGAGCTGACGCCGGTGGTTTTATTGACCAAATGCAGGTTTGTTTGGAGCTTCCTGTCCCACTGCAGCGACAGGTTGGAGTTACGATGCCATGAACTCAGTCTGCAGAAACTCCTCTGAGGACTTCTTCCATAAATAGCCAGACGGAGTGAAGTGAGGAGAGGGAGACGGCTTACTGTAGAAATGCCCTTCTGGGTTTCTGAAACAGCACTTATCTCCCCCTCCATCTCCCCCCCTTTACTTCCATCTCTGTGTTTTAAAAA